TGTCTCATGCCAACTTGGAGGGCGCCCAGCTTCTTGGCGTGAAGGCGCTGTGTGCTAATATGGAAGGTAGGATGTGTACGTTTTTTATGCTTCTTTATTTCTTCTTTATATGCTGTTAAACTTCTGTCTAGAAAACCAACTCTACAAAAGTAACACATTTTTAGAAAAAGCAGAAACAGAGATGGACGTGGCTATCTCCTGATGGAGCAACACGAAACAAATAGACTATATCCTCACAAAGAACATTAGAGCTATAACAAATGTTCAAGTTATAAACACAACCTTCTCTACAGACCATAAATTAATCCGAGCTGTATACAACTTCAACACTAACATGAAAAAGTGCAGAAAATCATTTAACTCAAGAATTTCAGAGTTTACCTTAATAGAGAAAGAAAGTATCAAAAACCAATTCATAGAGTTGATAAAAACGGTACCTCAAGATATAGATACAAATAAGTCCTTACAACAATCTTACACAAATACCATAAACAACATAAAAACCTGCGTCAAACAATTACCTATCAGAAAAAACAACAATAAAAACATAAATGAAACAATATTCACAGAGACTGAAGCAATATATTGAAGAGAGAGACAACTTAAAAATTTGAAAAAGAAATAAAAAGAGAAAAGAAATTAAACAAACTATACAGAAAAATCAGGAAAGAAATAAAGAAAAACAAACAACAGCAACAATACAAAATAATAGAGCAAGAACTAAAAAAATAGAGGCTCAGTTAAAAGAGCAGATAGAACTCTCAACCCGGGGAAAGAGTGGATAATTGGACTTACAGGAAAAGACGGAAAAAAGGTTACTGATAGAGGCAAAATTATAGACATAGCTACCAATTATTACAAAGAATTGTACAGTGACAAGCTAAACAAAAAATTGAACTACATGCCAAAATGCTCACGGAACAGTGAAGAAGTGCAACCTATTATGGAAAGCGAGGTCAGAGAAAGTATAAAGTCCCTAAAGACATCTAAAAGCCCAGGACAAGACGGCGTAACGAATGATATGTTAAAAGCCGTATGCGATCCACTGACGCCAGTAATTACAAAAATATTTAATGGTATTTTGTATAATGCTTATATACCAGAAGAATGGGAAAATGCTATAATTACACTTATATACAAGAAAGGGAACCCTATGGATATAGGTAATTACCGCCCTATCAGCCTCTTGCAATCTGTTTACAAATTGTTTACTAACATTCTTCTAAGAAGGTTAAAAAAATAATCTGGAATCTAAACAACCTAAAGAACAGGCTGGCTTTAGACCCAAATACAGTACGATTGACCACATATTTACATTATCGCAAGTGATAGAGCGCTACACAGAATACAAGATGCCACTCTACATCGCCTTTATAGATTATTCGAAAGCTTTCGATTCAATATCCCACAAATCGCTCTGGGAAAGCCTGGAAGAACAGGGAGTCGAAGGAAAGTACATAAAGATATTGTGGACCATATACAATAAAAGCAGAGCAACGGTAAAGTTGGAACGACTTGGCATGACGTTTGATATAGAAAGAGGCGTAAGACAAGGCGACCCCATTTCGCCAAACTTGTTCATAGCGCTCCTAGAACACATATTCTCTAAACTAGATTGGGAGAACCTCGGAATAAATATTAACGGAGAACGTTTAAACCAACTTAGATTCGCGGACGATATTGTCCTGCTTAGCGAAAACTATGAAGACCTACTCTACATGCTTACAACACTGGATAAAGAAAGCCAAAATTGCGGACTCTATATGAACACGAATAAGACATGTGTCATGACCAACAGCAATGAAATTCCGATCAAAATAGGACAAAATACTATTGAGTATGTCAAACAGTATGTTTATCTGGGACAAAACGTATCTTTCATGGACTACACGCTGAAAGAAGTAAACCGAAGAATCAAAATAGCGTGGAACAAGTACTGGTCAATGAAACACATATTCAAATCTAAACTTCCCATATCATTGAAAAAGAAAGCTATGGACTCTACAGTCTTACCAACATTATTATATGGATGCCAAACATGGGCTCTATCACGGCAAATCATAACCAAACTTCAGGTCTTCCAAAGATCAACTGAAAGGAGCATGCTTGGTATAAGACTTCGAGATCGCCAGCGAAATACGACGATCAGAAAAAAGACACAAATCATAGACGCTGCAGAGCTTGCATGCAAACTGAAGTGGAGATGGGCTGGCCACGTCGCTCGTGCTACGGACGAGCGCTGGAGCAGTCGTGTGTTGTACTGGTACCCGCGCGACCACACTCGCCCGCGCGGACGACCGCGCGCTCGCTGGAGAGATGACATCCAGGCTGTGGCGGGGCGACGTGGACGAGACTGGCTATGGACCGAGACCAATGGAAACTGATGGAGGAGCCTTCACCCAAAAATGGGTGCCAAGAACATTAAAAATAATTTAAAATAACTAGGTAATGTGATGTGAAAATAATGCAAATAAATATATTTCTATTTCTACTATTAATCTAATTTTGTAAGTTGAATGAATTAGTTATATCTTAATCAAAATACTCAATTATTTATTAGTTTATTTTATATATTTACTGAATATAATAAAATTAAGATAAAAATGTAATGTTTGTTATATTGTAATTTGTTTTGGAAATAAATGGCTTTGTATTGTATTGTATTGTATTATTTCTTCTTCTTCTACAAGAAAACTATGAAAATCATTCAAACCTCCACACTGCACTATGGCGATTGCAAGCCTATCTACTGAACCACCAACTGAACGACTTTTGTACATAAGTAACTTTTTAACTAATTATTAAAATGGAGGCTCATAAAAACTGAACAACTTTTAAAATTAAAAAGCATTTATCAGTAAATTTTAATTCGAAAAATGATTTGAAGCAGTCCATAATTTCAAGTGTCGTCCCGCCGGGTGACATTTGTTTTTTGTTTGACTTACTGTTGACTCACGAAATTAAAAAGCGGCATATTCATTTCGTTTTTTTAAATGTTCTAGACATTACGTTCCATTAAGATTCAAATAGTATGGAAATTACATTATCCACACTCATTTCATAATATTCGTTTTACAGAATCAGAAGCAGGTACGTAATGAACTGCATTAAGAAATATGCAGCCTTAAAAAATAATGTTCTAAGATTAATGTGGTTGGTCTATGTAGTTTTAAGTGCATTCCCTAACTACTAGAATGTCTTTTCTTGCTTGTAAAACTTAGTTACACTCGAAAAGAAGAAGTCACAGTTTTATTTGGATTCAAAACTAATTTATCTCCTTTCCTCCTCATTTCATTTACTCTGTTCTTCCATCAAACAATAAAAATCTAATTAATGTTTTTTCCAGGTGGTAACTTGAGGGCTGTAATATGGAGGACCCGGCAGGCAGCAGGGCTGTAATGGAGGTTAATCTTAAGGTATGATACATAGGGTTTTCGTGCTCTCAACAATTCAACAAAGACTATGTTTTCCCGACTACCTCAGAAGGAGTGTTATGTTTTTCGGGAGTATTTATTAGTATGTATGTGGGTATGTATGTGAACAAGAAATTCGTTTTCGCGGTCTACATCCCGAACGGCTGGGCTTGACATGTGAGGTGTCGTTAAATTCGTCTCAGCAGCGCGAGTGACACTGGCTATATTGGAAATTCATCATAAATTTCATATTTCGTCCTATGTTGTAAAGTTGTTCAGTTGCGTAATTCATCCCTTAAAATACAGGGTGTTAATTTAAATGCGTGCCATAGCTTCGGGGTTAAGTATCGATTAAGGATGCCGTAAAAATATTGAAAAAATTTTTGCTGATTTATAAAACTTTTTTTTGAAAAATTAATGTTTCACTTTTGTCTAAACAATATTGAGATTGAACGAATTTCGGCTGTGATATAGGCATTTGAATCAAATGTCAGAAAACTAAAAAAAAAAAAAATTGTCTGGGATTTTTCAATATTTATATGGCATCCTTTATCGATACTAAACAACACTGAAGCTATGGCACGCATTTAAATTAACACCCTGTATATGCTTAATTGTTTTTTACTACTGTATTCTTTTCGTCCAGGCGCGAATTTGGAAGGCAGCAACATGGCGGGCGTGAACCTTCGCGTGGCGACTTTGAAGAACGCCAACCTTCAAAACTGCGACCTTCGCGCGGCCGTACTAGCGGGAGCTGACCTGGAGGTACATCCACCTACAATTTAAGAGACCAACTTAAACTGGCTATTCTTAGTATTTGTATGAAAAACCGGTATAAGTTGGTTGATTTGTTGGTAAGAACGCGAATCTTCAAAACTGCGACCTTCGCGCGGCCGTACTGGCTGGAACTGACCTGGAGGTATATCCACCTACACATTTAAAGGACCAACTTAAACTGGCTATTTTTAGAATTTATATGATATACCAGTATAAGTTGGTCGGTTGGTTGGTAGGTAAGAACGCGAACCTTCAAAACTGCGACCTGCGTGCGGCTGTTCTGGCTGGAGCTGACCTGGAGGTATACCATATATCACGCCTATATCCCTTACGGGGTAGGCACAGAGGCAGATTTACACTACGTCTGACAAAAGCTTGAGAGTCGTTCAGAAGACTGTGTATTATCATAGTGTCAGATTATCAGCCAGTCGCCTAAAATTGCAATACATATCAACAGTCAATCCCTTAGTCGCTTCTTACGACACCCACGGGAAAGATATGGGGTGATGTTATTCTGAGCCGGCACCATGCAGTTTTTCATTGTACAAAATCACTATAAGTTATGTATTCCCTTATATGGTTATGCTGATATGCTGGCGACAGTAACAAACGAAAATACCATGAAATGGAACAACTTTCTTTATAAGGGCTATGTTGGAAAATCAAGAATAATTTTCGAGGTTCCATAGAATGGAAATTTTTTAATCTGTTTGTATAGTTTCTAGGCATAACTATAGCTATAGTCACACACCAATTCCGTGTTACACCTAAAATATTATCAAGGTTGAGAAATTCACCAGGGTCCGCTAGGCGCCCGTAGCTCAGTGGGTAGAGCTATGGAACGGTGATCCACAGTCCGGTTCAAGTCGGCGGTCGCTAGTGAATTTTCAATTTTCTCATTTTCAATTTATGAATATTATTAAACTTTCTCTTTTCAGAGCTGCGACTTGTCCGGCAGCGATCTTCACGAGGCGAACCTGAGGGGTGCCAACTTGAAAGATGCTGCCTTCGAACTTATGCTCACCCCGCTACATATGTCGCAAACTATAAGATAGATACCTGCCACAACAGTCCACTGTTGGACATGGGCCTCCCGTATCGGGGGGTATTGCCATACTCACCACGATTGGCAGGTGGATTAGCGAGCGCAGTGTAAGATGTTGTATTTACAGGGAACGCTACTGCGCATTCCCTGGACTAGTTAGGTGTAGCTTTCAAGGCCCCGGGGCCATAATGCCCATTACATATTTTAATAAATGCATTCCCTAGATGATTATGCCTTTGTCGCTTTTAACGACACACACGGGGAGAATTGGGGTGATGCTATTCTAAGCCGGAATCATACGGCAGATAAGGTAAGTTTCGTGATAATGTAAATGTAATAAACAGTACTGATATTATTTATTTGTTATACCTACTTGTATTCTAGTATATTATTAAACTTTTTATTATAGCAGTATACCTAAGTATATTCCATTACTTTGTAAATAAAGTTAATTTATGAATGAAAGTTTGTTTATTTATTTTCATTAACCGGGCGTGAACACTAAGGCGACTTTGGCCGGTGGCCTAACGGAAGTCCCTTTCGCACTCGTGGAACACAACGAGAGATCCATTTATCGCCCAGCAACAAAGTCGCCTGTGTACACGCGGTCTAAATGCCCTACCCTACGATGATGATGAGTGATGACCGATGGCGTGGCGCAAAGGTTCCGGGTTCGATTCTCGGCTCGGCACTCATAAAGTTGATATTTAATCTTTGTGATTTCGTTCCCTGCAGTCTGGTAAGAACATTGCAGGCTCGCTCAAACATCTGATTGTCTGAAAAGGAAGATGGTTCCGTGCTTCGGAGGGCACGTTAAAGCGTCCGTCCTGGGCGGCGGTCATTAGGTAACACAAACATGTCAGAGGCCTACTTGTGGTAACACAAACATGTCAGAGGCCTACTTGTAAAAGGGTTTGGTGGTTGAAAAAAGGGTTCATTGGTTCGTTGGACGCGTCGATGCCGGTGTACTATACACCTAACACACGAAAGTAAAGCCGTGAAGTTTTATTTTTAATTGGGTGATTCCGACAAGTAAACCAAAATTGTTAATTGTTTGTATTGTGTGTGGACACGTCTACCATTTATCCACAGCATTTTAACAAGACGTGTACAATGCGAGATGCAAGGTGTGAATGCGGCATCCATGTTGTAAACTTTTTGAACTTGGCGCTAATTTTGGCCTGCTTTCTACGTGCCATTTTAATGCTATAGTTTTTTCAAACGAGCACAAGTCTACAAATCTTTTGTCACTTTTTCACAAACTGTTTGAAGCTATTTTGATACGAAATAAACAGATTGTCGCCATAGACAATATTTTACTACTTTTCAGAAAAACCGGTAAAATAAATGTCAATGAAAACATACCTGTTTTTTTTGCTAAATGTTGGCACCCCTGAATTTTATGCCGTGAAGTTGGTGGCATTTGTTTTTTATTCTTGTTCTATTTTTGTACGTGACGGTTCCGTCCGGCGGATTAGATTTTATTTCCAAAATAAAATTGATGATTTTCTTGTAAATCATCGAAATAACTCTTGAATTCCTCCCGATTGCAGTAAATCTTCACGATGCAGAACGGAGAAGAAGTGCCAGCGGCCACTGAAACCCGTAAGTTACATATTTGTTGTCAAATTTGTCGGAACAACAATCATTTTCCACTGTTTTCTTTGATATTTGTTACTGAAGCGGCCTCCATGGTGCGTGAAATCGTGTTTGCGAGTTTCGCGATAATTTTCAACGTGGTTTTCGAAGTACCCACATCTTGTTGGAATCGTATTCGATGTAAATTCTCTTGGAATGCATTTCAATGATTTAGAAGCGCAATCAAAATTTCACTTGCATTTGGTAGTTTCGTGCATGATTTATTCGTATTTGGGTTGATAATAATTAAAAATACTGTAGGTAGATCAATTAGCGTGAAACTTGACGTGAATCACATTCCTGAGCACTGCCTACCGAAAATGCTATGTATTTGAAGGCCTCTGAAATCATTATTTTCGTTACCTACTTTACTGGTACATTGGGCTAGTTTCTGATGCAAATAAAACAGCTGGAAAAGTTGGTTTTATTTCCTTGGTCTTATCGCTTCACCTGTTTTCAAGTCTACCTTCATATCAAGATGTGCGAGGTCAAATTTATTCTAGACTAGCAGCCCGCCCAGCGGTTTCACCCGCTGCTACTTACCTGTTTTCCCGTAGAAATTGGATCTGCCCGTAGTAAAAAGTCCATTACTCGATCAGCAGCCCGTCATGCTGAATAACTTTTACTGACCATTACCGTATCTCTTATTGTTTATATGGGATGCTGGTGATCTACATCAGTACTCTGAACCCTCGTGACCATGTGCCAGCAGAAGTGGCCCGTCATGCTGAATAACTTTACTTTGAAGCCATTACCGTATCTCTTATTGTTTATATGGGATGCTGGTGATCTACATCAGGTACTCTAGACCCTCGTGACCATGTGCCAGCAGAAGTGGCCCGTCATGCTGAATAACTTTTACTTTGAAGCCATTACCGTATCTCTTATTGTTTATATGGGATGCTGGTGATCATCAGGTACTCTAGACCCTCGTGACCATGCCAGCAGAAGTGGCCCGTCATGCTGAATAACTTTTACTTTGAGGCTTTACGTATCTCTTATAGTTTATATGGGATGCTGGTGGTCACATCAGGTACTCAGACTCGTGACCATTTACCAGCAAGCGGCCCGTCATGCTGAATAACTCTTACTTTGAAGCCATTATCATTATCTCTTATAGTTTATGGGATGCTGGTGGTCTACATCGGGTACTCAGATCTCGATGACCATGTGGCAGCAACGGCCTGCCATGCTGAGTAACTTTTACTTAAAACCATCACGTATCTCTTATAGTTTAGATGGGATGCTGGTGATGTTCATCATGCACTCAGATCCTCGATGACCATGTGGCCAGCAAGCGGCCCCGTCATGATGCACAACTTTTTCTATGAAGCCATGGCGTATCTCTTATAGTTTAGATGGGATGCTGGTGGTCATCAGGTACTCAGATCTCGATGACCATGTGCCAGCAGCGGCCCGTCATGATGAACAACTTTCTATGAAGCCATGGCCGTATCTTTTATAGTTTAGATGGGATGCTGGTGGTCTTCATCAGGTACTCAGTACTCAGATCCTCGGGCTGACAAAAGTAGTCCATGTCCATCTTTACTATGCTAGTAATATCAGTGCCAAATTTTAAAGATCGGTAAAGCGGTTTGGCTTATTTGGGTAATATCGCTGTATTTCCGATTTTCCTGCTGCTAACCGTTTTCCATTGAAATGAGAATTTTCCGTGGTAAAAAGTAGCCTATGTTACTCAGGAATGTTGTAGCTTTCTAATGGTGAAAGAATTTTCGAAATCGGTCCAGTAGTTTCGGAGTTTATCGATTACATACATACAAAAAAACAAACAAACAAACAAAAAAACAAACAAAGTTTTCCTCTTTATTATATTAGTGTAGATATAGATTTAAATGTATACTGAATCATCAAATCAAAGGCCTTTTACATATTACATCACTTCTATAAACTACAGACACAAATAAAGCATGGCCGATAACTTGAAACATTTGAAACTTGCTCCATAATAATTCTACTGTTAATCCTATAAAACCAGCTGGACAAACATTTTAATTTATGTAACTTGGCTCGTTATTCTGAATTACTATAGAATGTCTTAAAGTACCATGCATTGAACTTCTTTGTGTGGGACACCAAGTCGTCCAAAAACCTGATGAACCTTAAACAGAGTTCTTCAACTGCCTACTTCAAGTAGCAGACCTCTGACATGGTTGTGTAATGTAATGACCGCTGTCTATATCGTCAATGAACTAGTAGGCTTGGACTTTACACTATTTTATTTTGACAATCATCTTATTTTTTCAATCTGCCCTATCCTTTACAAGGCATATTTTTGTCCAATGTCCAAATTATGAAGGTGAATGGATTATTTTAGTATTATACTTAGTGACGAATGAAGTTACTTTTTAGATTTCTTTGTCACAGACACCGCTAATGCCTCCATAACTACACAACAAAGCTTGATACAATATCTTCTAATATATGGGGACATTTTGTGTAGTCAATAAACTCTAAGGCTTCTGGATCAATATCTGATACTGATTTGAAAAATCTTTCACCATTGAGATGCTACAACTGCCTGAGTAACACAGGCATGGTTATGGTTATACGGCTGTTTTCCGCAACTCGACGTCTACATGCGCCTATTTTGCGTGATGGGTGGGGCCACTACTCGAGCCATCCTAGTTCCCGAGGAAACTCAGCAACCCTACCAAATCACTGAGTGCCTCGGGATTGACCCGGATTTCAGTACTTTGCCCGGTATGTTGCTACCTCTTTGCAGTGCAGCACCACATGGACAGCTGTTTCTTCTTCTTCCATGCATGCTCTGCACAGAGGACTGTCAGTAACACCTATGACTGAGAGGTGCTTGTTAAAATGACCGTGCCGGTTATGATACTGGTTAACATGCGGTTGGGGTTTCTTCAGTCGAGCAACTTCTTGGATAGACGACTGGACAGTTTTGGCATGGCCTCTCTGGCCTGCCTGCAGTCTTCTAACCGGTCCAGTATGTGTTGTGTTCGTTTTTGTACGTTCTCTCAGTAGGGAGCGGAATTTACCTGCGGAATGGGTATAATTGGTTCCGGCCCATAGGCCTCAGTGTCGAACCCCTTCTAGCTAGTTCATCCGCTGCATCATTACCTCTGGAGCCGCTGTGTCCCTTGATCCATTGCAGAGTTACCTGATTATGTTTACATACCTCCATCAGGCGTTGGTGGCATTCGTAGATTAGCC